GAAGGCTTTACTCCATCTGTGTCATTAAGGTTGACTCTACTTTGAGGACGCAGCTCTTCCCTAGTCATATTTTGAATATCTTCCAACCTGAGGGGCTCATCTTCTGGCACTGTATCAGACAATGTTTCTGGGCTATTCGTAAAGTTTTCCAGTAATATATCAGACAGTGTTTCACTGCTATTCATAAGGCTTTCACTGGCCAATTATTTGACAAGTCACTTCCTTCTTCCAAGTCTGTCTTAGTCTGGAAGCTCCACTGAAACCTGTCCACTGTGGGTGACCCTGCTGATATTTGAAATACCAGGGGCATAGCCTCCAGCCTCACAGCACACACAAGCCACCACAGTATGACAAACTGACAGATGAGTGGTGGAACTACTCTAATCACTAGTAAATGTGTAGATTGAGTTTATTTGAAGGTGTCTGTTAGTCATCCACTTGGAAGGGATGTAGGAGATCCTGGATAGAGAGGGAGAACAATGTGGAACAAAACTCAAAATCATTTGGAGCCAAAAAAAAAAAAAAAAAAAGGTGGGGACCAGGTTTGCTGGTACAATATAACCTGGTGGAACCACTGAGACTATGGCCCCGAGCTGCCCTTCAGGTCTGGAACTGAGCCCACACCTGTGGTTTCCAGTCAAACAAAGTACAGGCATGTGAGTTAAACATTTACCTCAAGTAGACACACGCCCTGGAGAGAACAATCATGGAAGAAGGAAGGGCTGCTTATGCACAGGGAGACAGCTCAGGGGGCAGGAGAGTATGGAGAGATGGACACTGGGAAGAGGTAACTATGAGGAGGAAGTGGGAGGGGAGCTGTTGCATTGTGGTAAACTGTGGTCAATGACATGAGACAAAGTATATGTGAACTGCTGTATGGAAAGTGAATTTGCTCTGTAAATCTTCACCCAAATCAAGATAAAATAAAAGAAAAAGGTGTCTGTTATTTTGGACATTTCAACAGTTTTACAGAGAAAACACTGGATCAAACCACAAAAGATAAAATAGGTACCTAGTGGGAAACAGTCATTATGTTTCTTTATCACTCCCAGAATGAGGAAGCTCTTGGTTCTATTAACATAGGCTAAGACTTCCTCTGGGGTGCGAAAGAGACAGCATGGAGAGAGCCATAGATTCTGCATCCAAGGACCTAAATTCTGGTCCCACCTCTGACCCAAACTAGCTGTGTGATCTTAGGCAACTCCCTCCCTGTCTCTGGGCCTCAGTTTCCCCCTCTGTGAAATGGGAGAGGTGGAGAACGGGGTGATTCTGAGGATCTCCAAAGTCCTTCCAACTCTGACACTGCAGTTCTCTCACTGATAAGTGAGACTGATTGTGGCTTATGGGACATCACACCACTGTTACATATATCCCATACGTGGATGGTGTCTCCACCTGTCTGAGCACAAAAAGTATGAAGGAATTAAGCAGGAGGCTGACTTCTTGGCCAGAAAAGGTTCACACAGATACTTATTCAGGCCTGGCACCTCCTGGCTCTCAATTTATCAGCCCTGGTACTCTGAAAATGGTCCTTCATGGAGACCTGTGCATGGGTCTTATCATTCCAATTAGACACTAAGATTTTTTAAATCACCTCAGAATAATAGAAAACAATAAATACTAAAACAAAAAACAAACTCTCACTGCTGTCCAGTCAGATCCAACTCATAGCAACCCCTCCTTGGGTTTCCGAGGCAGTATCACTACAGAAGTAGATTGCCCAACCTTCCTTCTGAGGAGTGGCTGGTGGATTTGAATCACCTGCCTTCTGGTTAGCAGTCAAATGCCTTAGGCACCATGCTGCCAGAGCTCCCCAATAAATATTAGACAGGCAAAATAGTCACGCTTGCTCTTCCTCACTCAGTGCCCACTTTTCTCCCTCATCCCCCTACTACCTGTTGCTGTGGAGTCGATTGTCTCATAGGCATCCTATAGAAGAGAGAACGGCCCCATAGGGTTGTCATAGGGTTTGCCACATCTTTCTCCCTGCAAAGAGGCTGGTGGGTTCCAACATTCAATATTTTGGTTTAGCAGCCAAGCACTTAACTACTGCACCACCAGGGCTCCTTTCATTCCTCCCTACCTCTCTCATACTGCTTTCTCTCTCCCATCATCTCTGTACCTCAAGTTCTGTTATTTCTGCCAGGGCCATTTGTTACAATGCCCTTCCATCTGATATCCCTGCCTTAGCCCCTCCATACTACAGCTCAAAAGCCCCCTATTGGCTCTCAGCTGCCCACTAAAGAAATCTCGAGATCTGACTTCAGCCAACCCTTTCTGCAAGATTGCTGCAGAAAAATGGACTACTATGGGAGCTCTGGTAGCATAGTGGCTAAGACACTTGCCTGTTAACCAGACGGCTGGCGGTTCAAACCCACCAGCCACTCCTCGGAAGGAAGGTTGGGCAATCCTACTTCCGTGTGATACTGCCTCGGAAACCCAAGGTGGGGTCGCTATGAGTCGGGTTTGACTCGACGGCACATAACAACAACCACGGTTTAACCCCGCAATAGACTTCCTTTTAAAGTTTTCATTCCTCCACCGGTCAAGCGCTCTCCACCCCTCCTAGCGTCTTTCTGACTCTGAGCGCCAGAGGGCGCTACAGAGAAGGCGGATACGGTGGAGAAGACTTGGTTGTTACGCCTTCCAGGTTGACCCGCCCCTTTGCTTACTTCCGAGCCAATCATTAGCTAGAGTGGGTGAAAACCGCGCTGCCACCACCAGCGCGTTAAGAGGGGGCGGTGGAGGTGCGCAAACAGCTCACGCAACTCTAAGATGCAGTCGCAGGTGGTGGGCGTCACGGTGCTCCTGCTTCTGATTCTTGGAGCCACGCAGTCGAAGCACAGAGCTCCTCGCCGCTACACCCCAGACTGGGAGAGTCTGGACGCCCGGCCATTGCCGGGCTGGTACGACGACGCCAAATTCGGGGTGTTTGTGCACTGGGGCGTGTACTCGGTGCCGGCATGGGGCAGCGAGTGGTTCTGGTGGCACTGGAAGGGCGAAGGGCGGGCCCCGTACGAGCTCTTCATGAGGAACAACTACCCGCCCGGCTTCACCTACGCTGACTTCGGGCCGCAGTTCACGGCCACCTTCTTCCAGCCGGACGACTGGGCCGACCTCTTCCGGGCGGCAGGGGCTAGGTGAGCGGTCGCGGGGTGGGCGGGAGGGCTCCTTCCCCGCTAGCCAAAACCAAAACCAGATTCACTTCCGTGGGGTCGGATCCGACTCGTAGCGACCCCTCCTTGGGTTTCCGAGGCGGTATCACTACGGAAGTAGATTGTCCAGTCTTCCTTCCCGAGGAGTGGCTGGTGTTTGAACCGCTAGTCTTTTGGTTAACAGACAAGTCCCTTAGGCACTGATCCGCAGGTGAGAGCAAAAGGAGGTGGGGTTTAGAGACAAGAACTGTAAGCGGAGGGAGACATCACGACACGGATGTGTCTGACTTAAACATAGCCCCAAGTCGCGTGTTTTGCCTACTGAAGGTTACAGAACTGGGACGCCAGAGCCTGGAGACTAGAAAATAAAGGTTACAGGGAGGAGATGAGCTGGAAAGTCTTCAGTATCTACACCTTTATATCGAGAGGATTGAGCTGGGTGATACCAGATGTCTGCCCCTGCCTGGCTGACAAGACGGTCAGGATTCCGGAATTTTAAACCATTGGTATGGATTCTGGTCCTACCTCAACTGCGAACCACCTTGGGACAAATCGCTGCACCTCCCAGCAGCCCCCTTGTTGGTAATAGGAAGAATTGCCCTAGTTCCTTTCTGCTCGACTATAATACCGTGGAAAGGGGAGAGAAGGGAGTTCTAGAGCGTTTGGGAGACAGTATGGATTACATCCACTCTTCTCTGTGCTTTGTGTATAGAAAGTGCTCGAGCAATGTTTACGTTGTCTTAAGAACTGTTGGCTCCTGCAAGTGTTTGGTTCAGAAAACTGAAAGAGTGTAAAGAACCAGAAAACTCAAAAAAAACAAACTCACTGATTCTGACTCCCAGGTTGACTCCCAGGCGTCACTTCTGTGGAGTGCCCGGTAGGTTTAAACAGCTGACCTTTTGCTTAGGAGCTGAGTGCTTAACCACTGTGCCACCAGGGCTTAACCACTGTGCCTACCAGGAGTGATGCCCATTGCGTTTCCACAGTTGTAAATCTTTGGAAGCTGACTGCCCCATCTTTCCTGTGCAGCGGCTGCTGAGTTTGAATCACCACCAACTTTTCGGTAGCAGCCAAACGCCTTAAACACTATACCACCAGAGCTCCTTGAAGAACCAGCAGAGTGTTGAGGTTGGGGAGGGGGAGACAAAAATCATGAGGTTGTTGAAGACTAAGGCAATCCTGAAGGTGTAAGTCCTCAGGGTAGTGCGTTGCTGGTTGTTAAGTTAGGGAGTGGTTACTCTCGGGTTCAAGGAGCCCTGGTGGCACAGTGGTTAAGCACTCAGCTCCTAAGCAAAAGGTCAGCTGTTTAAACCTACCAGGCACTCCACAGGAGTAAAGATCTGCTCCCATAAAGATTATAGCCTAGGAAACCCTATGGGGCCGTTCTGCTCTGTCCTGTGCAGTCACTGTGAGTCAGAATTGACTCGATGGTGCACCACAACAGCTCTCAGCTTTTAGAAGGATTAGTTTGACTGCCGGGAGGGAAGCGGGTTGTGGTGGAGTAAAAATGGAATCGGAAGGTTCCTGCTTTTGGCTTAGAACAGTCTTCTTTCCATCCTTTGGCTCCTCAGTCATCTTCAGAGTCCTAGTTTAGATGTCTCTCATATTAAGAAATTACTCTGGGTATTTAGTGTTCACCACTAAATGTATAGGAGTATAAGACTTGAGTACAGAGGACATGTTCTCCATCTTCTGTTGTTGTTAATTGTAGTCCAGTCTGTTCCAACACATGACAACCCCATGTGCGCAGAGTAGAATTTCTCCATAGAGTTTTCAAGGCTGCGACCTTTTGGAAGTAGATCTTCCAAGGTGCCTGTGGGTGGGTTCAACCTTTTGGCTAATAGTCGAGCTCTTAACTGGTTGCACCACTTAGGGACTCTCACTGTCTTCTGAATAAAATCCACTATCAAGTTGATTCCGACTTATAATGACCCCATAGAAAAGAGTAGAATTGCCCCATAGGGTTTCCAAGACTATAAATGTTTATGGAAACTAACTGCCTCATCTTTCTCCCAGACCAGCTAGTGGGTTTGAACCACCAACTTTTTCGTTGCAGCTGAATACTTAAACCACTCCACTACCAGAGCTCCCTCTGTCTTCTAGGGGCATTAAAAAAGCACCCTGTTGCTGTCAAGTCAGTTCCAGCTCGTGGTGACCCCGTGTGTTACGTGATAGAAATGCCCCACAGGGTTTTCTCATTTGTAATCTTTACAACGGCAAATAACAACAACAACAACAACAATCTTTACAGAAGCAGATTGCCTGGCCCTTTGTCCATGGTGCCACTGGGTGGGTTGAATCACCAACCCTTAAGTTAGTAGTTGAGTACAGACCATTTGAGCTGCTCAGGAACCAACCTCTAGGAGCTTTAGCAATCCTTGGAAATACATAATTTACAAATTAAAAAAAAATTAAAATCTGGGAGACATTCTCTAACCAGATCTCTTATGTCGTGGACAAGGTGACAAGCCCAAAGAGAGGAAGGGACCAGTGTCCTAGACTCCAAATCTCATGACACCACTAAAAACTATGTTATATGGTCTGCAAGCTATGACTAGAGGGATTGGTACTCTGCTTTGGTTTGTAAGGCCCATGAGGTAAGAATGATTTTTACATTTTTTAAAGGATTGTGGAAAAGAAAAGAATATAAAGGAACGAATGTTGCCCATTTCCATCTAGTCAGTTTGACTCAGAGCAGCCCTATAGGAGAGAGTAGAATTGCCCCTTGGAAATTCCAAGGCTGCACATCTCTGTGGAAGCAGATGGCTACATCTTTCCACAGAGCAGCTGGTGGATTTGAACTGCTATCCTTTTGATTAGCAGCCAAGTGCTTAGTCACTGCATCATCAGGGCTCCTAAATGTTGCCCACAAGGCCTAAGGTACTTGCTCCCTGGCCCTTGGTAGGAAACATTTCCAATCCCTACTCTACAGCACAGAGGACCCTAAAATGCCTTAAATTTGTGATAATGGTTTCAGGCTTTTAGGTGTAAGCTGTTTTTCAGACAGCCCACATCAGTCACAGCAACGTTTTGATAGTTGTCTTTTTAAAGTCCTGGAGTCCCCACCAGCCAGTGTTTATATTATCCCATGTAGGCAATGTCTGTTTTTCTGCCAAAAAAGCAAATGAAACTGTAGTGATCTGGTTGCTATTTCAACACTTGCCTTTTCTGCCCAGCTCTTGTAATCCTTTGTCACTTCTGTAAATAACAGGCAGTCCATATAGACTTGATAAAACAAACAATTTTCTACCATCTGCTATTTCCAATAGTGAGCTCTTTCTGCTGAGGGCAAACAGTCTAATCCTGTATGTCCAGAGGGTTGAAGAATCTGAGAGCTGTGGTGTTCTTCTTTTCCCCACTTCCCGCTTCTTCCCTCTCAGCCTCCTTCTTGGCTGGGGACAAAGTTGGTAGCTTCTTCAAATTTGCTTCCATTCCTGAAGCAGTGCCCAAAGGAACTTGTGACTACAGCAACTCCCTGAATATCACTAATATAGTCACTTGTACATTTCCTATAGTCAAGTTCTCCAACCATTTTAAAAACCTCAGGCCTGCTAAGTATGAACTTGCCCCTAGCCCACTACTCACTTCCTTTTGCTCACACGGTTTGCATGTCTACAGGTATGTGGTCCTGACCACAAAGCATCATGAAGGCTTTACAAACTGGCCGAGTCCTGTGTCTTGGAACTGGAACTCTCAGGACCTGGGACCCCATCGTGACTTGGTTGGGGAGCTGGGAACAGCTCTCCGAAAGAGGTGTGTGTCAGGATGGTTACTCCATCATCTCTTTTGATCTAGCCTTGCAGTGTTCCATAACTTCTATACTTTTTTGTGTTTTCTCAGTTTGTGTTTAGCAGGCAATTGAAGTAACCTGAAGGGTTTCTGGTCTTTGAATTATCAGTGTTTGAAGCTTGGCAGTTTTTACATGGCCAAGGGTGACACCATTCATGGCCATATCCGGTTAGTGAAGGGTGCCCAGCACAGGCCACGGCGCTCCATCTGCAGTCTGCAAAGGAGCCCCTCTGGGAACCTCACAACCCAGGGCCTTTTGCAGCCTGGGCCCTGTGTCTCATGGAGGCCTTTGTAGTCAGCACAGAACTTTGCAGGCATCCGTGGAAAGTTTGGGTGAATGATAGATCATGTGAGAGACCCAAAAAGGCAGTTATAGCAGCAAAAAGTTAGGTAAAGAGACATACAGTTAAGAGTCTAATGAGTAATTCCTAACATTTACCATTTAATAGGAAGTAATGTTCTATGATCAAAGTGCTAGGGAGTAGCAGGGCTGGAGGAAAAGGGGTACTGTGCCACTCCCCATCTGATTTGGTAAACCTGATGTCCTGTTTCCAGAACAGGCCAGCTGTCTGTGTAAATAAAATTGACTGGGACATAGCCACATCTATTGGTTTATGCTTTGTTGTTGCTGCTTTTGAGCTACAGAGAGCTATGATTTCAGAGTTGAGTAGCTGTGATAGAGACCCAGTGGCCCACAAAGCCTAGAAGACTATCTGACCCTCAAGAGAAAACTTACCTGTTAACCTTTTGACATGCAGTTTCCCAAGCTGTGTATTGCTAGTAGTCATGCTATAAAATTTCAAAACACTGATTATATTTAGACTTTAAGAGACATGGTTTTTATCTCTTTTTTTGTTGCCTTATTTGTGCCCCTACAATGTTATCTTTACATTATGTAATGTAATGTTGCAATATATATGTAATGTTGCTTGCATTATAGAGTTTCACCATTCTTTACTCAGAACAAGGTTTGTTGTGATAAAAGTAGGTGATTGGAACGTCCTTTCATTTGAGATCTGTTAAGAATTATCAGTAAATCTTAGGTAAATAAAACAATAAACCTGTATTCATTCATTTCAACTATGTAGAAAATGTTAGTAGTGGTTACTTCTGAGGATAAGTTAAGTATTAAGACAGTTGCCATACAAAATGATTTAAATGACATCTTGATGTTTAAATACTTATGTATAAAGAGTAGTTGTGTGTATTATCAAAAATACAATAAACCCCAATTTTTTCCTTAGTGAATGTTAATGGATAATTTGAGGAAATGGATTTAGATTCCACCCCACCCCCCATGCCCTTGTGAGTGAGTTTCACTGAGATGTGAAAATGGTAGAACTTAAGATAAATTGTTTTTTCTTTGCTTGATGACATGTGCTATTCTGTTTTTCTATTTAAGGAATATACGCTATGGACTTTACCATTCACTCTTAGAATGGTTCCATCCACTCTACCTACTTGATAAGAAAAATGGCTTGAAGACACAGTATTTTGTCAGTTCGAAAACAATGCCAGAGCTGTATGATCTCGTTAATAGGTAAGAAGCAACTGTTTTTGGCATATGACATTTGTCAGTGAAATCAAAGCCTTCTGTAGGGTGTGCTAAGTAGAGAAGGGAGCAGAGAAGACATATGAAAAAATCTAGAAGACATCAAATAATAAAAAAACAAAAACCAAATTCACTGGTTTGGTTCAAACCAGCTGATGGGTTTGAACCACCAACCTTTTGGTTAGCAGCTGAATGCTTTAACCACTGCATCACCAGAGTTCCTAAAATAATAAAAGTGGTGGTCATACTAAGGCAAAATATAATGTTTTATTTTTTTCTCTCCTACTTTTCAAAACTTCTGGTCATATTGCCTTTATATATTAAAATAGTCAAACAAAAACCAGGAGGATGGTAAGTCAGAACATCAGGTTTCTCCTTGCATGCTGTTTTCTGTTTGTCAGGGCCTTGGAGAGAGACAGTCCGGTCTAATGGTGTAAAAATGGCAGCATAGTCTGACTTCCTCCTCTGACTTCACAAGAGGGAAGGAGAATTATTATCAGCATCAGTAGCCCAAAGCTGATCCCTATGGAGAGAGGTCAGACATACCTCCTGTCTCCATCCTTTTTACTAATTCTGGCACCAGCCATCCCTCCAATGGCACTCTCTACTTCTGTACTGGGTTCAATAATTCATTGCAGTGGTCACACACAACTCACAGACAATACGCACAATTACAGGGTTTATTAAGGAAGTAGCAGGTTACGCAGTTCAGGATCAAGAATGACTCAGGATACAGTTCCTCAGTCAAGGCAGCTTCTCAGCCATGTCTGAAGGCAAGCATCTCCCTGGCCCTTGGTCTCTCAACCTTTTGGCCTCTTGGACTGGCCCAGCCTCTGTCCTGCTCAAGCAAGTGTTACAAAGCTCCTTAGCTCCACCAGTTAGTGCCCAGAGGCACCCCACTCTGCCAGCAAGCCTCTTGGCTAACCAAATGACAGTCATCTCTCCTGCTTCATGGGTCACTAAGTCTAGCTCTGCCAAATGCCTAAAGGCATCCTGTTTGGCCAGGGTGCCTCCTGCCCAAAGGCATTCAGCTGCCTTGCTCTTTGGGTCAGCACACCCAATGTAGCCACCTTGCTCTATAGGCTACACCATCTCATGCTAGTCTCATGATTTTTGCTACTACTGTTTCACTGCTGCTGCTTCTCACCATCTTGCACCATCTGCAATGTTACAGCTCTCTTTCTCTCTATCTCCCAGGTTTAGGAGGTTCTCAGCATGGGGACACTGGGTCCAAAGGACACGCTTTGGTTCCATCTCTTATGGGTAGTAGTAAGGCATTCCCCCGTCGCCTCTGAGATGGCTCATTTTAAGCCTAGCAGGATGGCAAAACTGACCTGTCCCCTCAATAGTGTTTCATACACCTTATTTGCATGGTCCCAGCCCCACAAGGGTAGTGTGCACCTTAGTTGTATTATTACCAAGCCATCTAATCCCTTTGGTGGGCCATAAGCACCTCATTTGCCTAATCCCATCCAGTCATTTGTTGGCTATTACAAGACCATGGCAAGAAAGAACACACATAAGTGATCTATCATACTGCAAATGGACACGACATAGGATTTGGCATTGGGTAGATTTGTTTTGAACTTTAGCTTTTATTACTTATGAGTATTGATACCTTGAACAGGTCACCTTTCTGAGTCTCAAAGTCTCACTCTGGCAAGTGAGGCCTGTTTTGTAGGGTTCAGAATAATATGTCAAAAAGTACCTATTACAGTGCCTGGTACAGAGTAAGGCTGTTATTAGTGTCATTGTTATTCTTAAAATGATCACTTTCACTTTGGGATTTGGCACTAATCTTCACCACGTTTTAGCCCTCGTTTGCCCTTCTGGTGTCTGGAGGCTTATAGAGAATGGCGGACCCTGAAAGCTTAAGAGGCAACCATCTCCGTCTGGATGCTCATTTTAGACTCAAAAAAAAAAAAAAGGTTTCTCTAAGGAGATGGCAGAGTTGTAAGGTACTAGCAGAGGCTTGGAGTCAGACAGTACTAGGTTAGAAACCCCAGAGTTTATTATTATTATTACTGGCTGTGTGGCCTTGAACAAACTGCTTAAGCTCTCTACATCTGTTTCTTTAGCTGCAAAATGGAGAGAAGAGTACCCCCTAGGGTTGTTGGCGATGAGTAATGAGTATAAGGTGTCTGGTACAGTTTCTTGCCCACAGTAAAACAGGCTGTGTTATAGCTTGTTCCTTAGACTGGCCATCTTTTCCTGGAGTCTGCTTACAGGCCTAATTAGGGAGCACAGCATAGGTCTGATTTGCACTTGCATTCAAGTTCCTGTTACTTACAAACATTGTCACCTAAAACAAATCACCCTCTGAACCTCAGATTCTCAGTCTCTAAAATGGGAATAATTCAAAAACTGTTGCAGCAGTACATCAACAGAGAGCTGTCAGAAATTCACGTTGGCTTCAGAAGAGAACATGGAATAAGGGATATCATTGCTGATGTCCGATGAATCTTGACTGAAAGGAAATACCAGTTTACCTGTGTTTTATTGACTATGCACAGGCATTCAACTGTGTGGATTGTAACAAATTATAGATAACACTGTAATAAATAGGAATTCCAGAATATTTCATCATGCTCATGAGGAACCTATACATAGACCAAGAGGTAGTCATTTGAAAAGAACAAGGGAATATTATGTTGTTTAAAATCTAGAAAGGTGTGCACGAGGGTTGTACCGTTTCACCATACTTAATCAATCTGTATGCTGAGCAAGTACTCTTGAGAAGCTGGGCTATATGAAGAAGAACATGGCATCATGATTGGAAGAAGACACATTAACAATCTGTGGTATGCAGATGACACAACCTTGCTTTCTGAAAGCGAGGAAGACTTAAAGCACTTATTGATAAAAATGAAAGACTACAACCTTCAGTATGGGTTAAATCTAAACATAAAGAAAACAGAAATCTTCACTACTAGACCAGTAAGTAGCATCATGATAAATGGAGAGAAGATTGACATCGTCAAGGATTTCGTTTTACTTGGATCCACAATCAATGCCCATGGAAGCAGAGGTCAGGAAATCAGATGATGCATTACATTGGGCAAATCCACTGCTAAGATGTCACTTTAAAGACTAAGGTGTACTTGACCCAAGCCATGGTATTTTCATTAGCCTCATTTGCATGTGTGAGCTGGAGATGAATAAGGAAGACTGTGGGAGAATTGATTCATTTGAATTGTGGTGTTGGCTAACAGTATTGAATGTACCATGGACTGCTAGAAGAACAAATCTCTCTTGAAGGAAGTACAGTTGGAATGCTCCTAGAAGTGAGAATGGGCAGACTTCATCTCTCATACTTTGGTCCCGTTGTCAGAAGGGACCAGTCCCTGGAGAAGGGTATCCTGCTAGATAAAGCAGAGGGTCAATGAAAAAGGGGAAGACCCTCAATAAAATGGATTGACAGTGGCTGTGATGATGGGCGGAAGCATAGCAATGATTGTGATGATGGCACAGGCCTGGGTAGTGCCTCCTTCTGTTGTACATACGATCTCTCTAACAAAACTGATTTGATGGTATGTGTCTTAGGTTGAGTTTCTCTAGAGAAGCAAAGCCAGTGAAGCTTATATGTGTACACATAACCCACTGACATCAAGTTGATTCCAGCTCATAGTGACCCCCGTTGGGTTTCCAAAGCTATGAATCTTTATGGAAGTAGATTGCCTCATCTTCTTCCTGTGGAGTAGCTGGTGGGTTTGAACTGCTGACTTTCTGGTTAGCAGCCAAATGCCTTACCCACTTCACCACCAGAGCTCCTTATGTATACATGTATAGAGAGAAATTTATGTCAAAGAAATTTTTCACACTGTTGTAGAGGCTGGCAAGTCCCAAGTCTGTGGGTCAGATGTCAAGCTGGAGGCTTCTTCTGACTCATGCAGCTACAGGGGCTGATCAGCAGAGAATATAGCAGGCTGCTGGGTTCAGAGGCTGACGAATCCAAGATCAGCAGGTAAGATGGCAGGCTGTGAACTCATAGGCTGCAAAGGCAGTAATCCCAGGATGAGCAGGCAATATGGCAGTCCCCTGGTTCAAGTCCAGGAAACAGAGAGCATGATGAGCCAGATCCAGCAGAAAGCCAGAGAGCTTTGCCAGAGCTTTTCCATGTATATTGGAAGCAGGCCACATCCCACAGCAAACTTTCTTTGAACTGATGGACTATACATAGCAAATCTCATCATGGAGGTGATTATATCAGATCTCATCATGGAGATGACTGTATCATAACTGCTAAACCACTTAGAATCATGGCCTAGCCAAGTTGACACACAACTGTAACTCTCACAGCACCTAACAACAACAAAATGAGAATAATAATTTCTGCCCTTGTAGGGCTCAATAATAATATGTGAAAGGTACATATGCAGATCCTTTATAGCAGAAGCTTTAGGTACTTATTTTAAAAATGCATTTGGGTGATTAGGTCAAGCTCTTAATACATTGTTGAAGCAGAAGCCCTAGTCCTAGAGTTCTGCAGCACCACTATTGTAGTTAGAATTAGGTATTTGAAGGAAACCAGTGTAAATATACTGATTAAAGCTACATTTTCTAAAAATGAATAAAGAAAAAACTAGACACCCTCCCCCATGCCATCAAGTTGATTCCAACTCATAGTGATGCTATGGGACACAGCAGAACTGCCCCATAGGATTTTCGAGGCTGTAAATTTTAATGGAAGCATACTGCCTTATCTGTCTCCCACGGAGCAGCTGGTGGGTTCAATCTACTGACCTTTTGATTAGCAGCCAAGCACTTAACCACCGTGCCACCAGGGGTCCTTTATAAAGAAAAAGACTAGGAGAAAATATACCAAAATGCTATGTTTTTATTAAATAATGGTTATGTTAACACAGTGGGTTTTGTTTGTGTTCTTGTCTTTTTAGTTTTTTACATTTTCTGTATTGTAATTTTATGCTGCTTTTCAAAATAGGAAGAAATTAATTTTAATATATTTGTTGGAATGTCTTTGAGCTGTACATGTGAAAGTTGTTTTCTTGGTGGATGTTTTGGTGCATATGTTTTCACCACAATTTAAAAAAAAAAAAACTATGCATTAAAAAAAGTTTGTTACAAAAATAGGTACGCAAGATTTCAGTGGGAATGCATTCAGATTTTAAGCTTTGTCTCCTAATCGCATGTCTTTCAGGTACAAGCCTGACTTGATTTGGTCGGATGGAGAGTGGGAGTGTCCTGATACTTACTGGAACTCAACAGATTTTCTTGCTTGGCTCTACAACGATAGCCCTGTCAAGGTATGGAATGATATGACTTAGTTACAGTAAAATCAGTACAAGATCTAGAGTAACAACAATAACAGTAACCAAACAGCAGCAATAAGAAATAGTGTTATCAACACTGTGGCAAGGGAGTGGTGGTAGGGGGGGCACTTAACAGATGTTAATGCCTTCTCTTTAATTCTTGATTTTGAAAAATACAGGTTTAAATATTGTTAAATTTAAGTAGTAGAAATAGTACATGGAATTCCCAAGCCATCAGCAAAACCAAACTCACTGCCTGTTGAGTCGGATCCCACTCATAGTGACCCCTCCTTGGGTTTCCGAGGCATTATCACTATGGAAATAGATTGCCCAACCTTCCTTCCGAGGAGTGGCTGGTAGGTTTGAACTGCCAAGAAATAGATTGCCCAACCTTCCTTCCAAGGAGTGGCTGGTGGGTTTGAACTGCCAGCCTCTGGTTAGCAGTCAAATGCTTTAGGCACTGCGCCACCAGAGCTCCCAGTATTACCAAATGAGAAAATGGAAAGAAAGGAAAAAAGGGCAGACATCCAAGATAACAAAGGCAGATTAAGGGAGGTTTTCCCTGCTCTTCTGAGTGCTTTCTTATGCATTTGTTGTTGTTGTTGTTATGTGCCATTGAGTCCCCCGACTCAAAGCAACCCCTCCTTGGGTTTCTGAGGCAGTATCACTACAGAAGTAGGATTGCCCAACCTTCCTTCCAAGGAGTGGCTGGTGGGTTTGAAACCGCCAGCCTTCTGGTTAGCAGTCAAGTGCCTTAGGCACTACGCTACCAGAGCTCCTTTCTTACGCATTTAGAAAAGGGTTATTTTGAACTGTACTAATGTTAGGAAAGCACTTTGAGGAGAAATTTGATGACTTCTGTTTCAGAAAGCAACCAGAGGGTAATCATGTGATCTCAACTGTCCATAGGAGCTCTGAGAAAAATGGGGGCCGGCCAGAGACCCTGAGATGATGGCTCCAGCTCTCACTTCCTGCTAACCTGCATCCTCTTTCCAACACTTTTGACACTTTCTGTTCTCTTTTTGTAATCCACCGAGAAAGCATAGTGCTCCCTACAAGGCAGGAGGGTGGATGTTTTAGTCATCGGGAGAAGTCGGCACCTTCTCTTTCTGTTCCTCCTGTCTGAGCATCTGCACTGCTTACGCCAGCACTTTCTACAGATCTTTACTCAAATGCTATCCATTCAGTGCAGCCCTCCCCAACCACCCTGTCCAAAATGGCAGCTTGCCCCATCACACCATGCCTTTCCCTGCTTCATTTTTCAATTAGTCTCGTGATCTAATACATTAGAAATATTATTTACCATATTTATTGTCTTCTTCTCCCACTAAAGTGTCCACTTCATGAGGGCTAAGGTTTTGGTCTATTTGCTGTTCTATCCTAGCCCCAAGAACAGTACTTGGCAAATGTTAGACCCGTGATAGATATTGGTTGAATATGAACTAAGTCTGACTCCTGATAATTTATGTCCTTTCCTGGCAGAAGCAAGAAACACATTAATCCCTAGGTGCTTAACTCTGCTATGAGATCATACTGTTACTGTCCACATATCTGGCTCCTCTGCCAGTCTACAGGGAGTAGGCTGTGTTCACCTTGGATACCCCATACCTGTCACAATCTAAGCCCTACCATAGTTGCTGAGTAAATAGGTATTGAATAAGTAGGTGCATGCAGAGTGAAGGATAGGGTTTCCAATCCCTCATTTTTCTCTATGTGACTTTTACATAATGTTCAGGGTATACACCCATGGAGCCAGATCATTTGGGATTACAGGCAAGCGTTCACAAGGAGCATCACAAAAAGAAAAAAGATTTAAGCAGAGATACAGGTTTGGAAGAAAATATCAACCCCTGTGCCATTTTAAAAGCTTAGCTGGTCAGAGGCCGTCTTTCTGGCCTTTCGTACACAATTAATTCCAGAGCAACCAGGACAGTTGTCTTCTCCATGTGTGGTGGTCTCTCCCATTTGCAAAATCGCTCTGTAGAGATATAAGGATTATAGATTCTCCTGTGCTTCTGCCAGGATTCACTGAAAGCCTGCTCTGTGATGTGCCCTATGTTAGAGCCAGAGGGTACAGAATTGAGTCAAATGGTTTCTGCTGTCAAGGAACTTGCAATTTGAAAAGAAAGACAAATTACATTGCAGATTGATAAATATGACAGTAGAAGCATGTCCTGAGGTCTTCACAATCTGCAGACATTGGCCTGAACACCACACGTGTCAGGGGCTGAGTTAGAGACTGCCGTTATAAAGAAGTTCAAGGTGGGGTGTCTTGAAGGGCCACATGTACAGGGAGAAGAATTGTCTGAGGGTACTGAGAATGAGGGAATGAGTGAAGGAGACAGGAATGAAGGCTTGTTGAGCAACCACTCTGTGCCAGAAGCCACTGTCACTTTTATTCTTTTCAAAACCCTGTGAGGTAGGTGATTCTTTTCTTTCTTTTCTTTTCTTTTCTTTCACAGATAAAGCAACTAAGACTTAAAGATACGCAGTCACCTGCCTAAGGCACCCTGCCTAGCCTAGTAGTTGGTGGATCCAGGGGTGGACCTCAAAGCTCATGATGCTTATAAGTTGCCCCTTTCAGTTCTGAGACCCTAAGGGAATGATTAAGCACTCACTTGCTAACCTAAAGGTCAGCAATTCAAACCCACCAGCTGCTCCACACAAAAGGATGTGCCAATCTGCTTCTGTAAAGATTATAACCTTGGAAACCCCATGGGGCAGTTCTGTCCTACAGGGTTGCTATGAGTCAAAATCGACTCAGTGATAGCAGGTTTAGTTTTGAGTGTGATGCCAAGGATTGCTAATTGAGTACAAAACATTGTATCAGATTCATCCACAAATAATAAGTGCTCTTCTGTTTTGCTTTGGTACTTACTATCTGCAGGAAAAGCTTCCTCAGCAATGTGAAAGAACCTGAAACAGGGAAATCCAGATTAAAATTTTTTTTATGTCTCCTTTTTGCCATGATGAGTGGAAAGGGTTTTCAGTTATTCCTTGTCTTTACCACTCTGTTATAAAATACACTACTGCATTAAACATTTGCATTAAGATATTCTAGGTAATCATTTCTCATAGTTCAGCTAAACCTTGAAGGAAGGAATATTTGACTGTTGACTTTATCTACATAAAGAAAGTTAGGGCTGCATTGTGCAAAGTCTTCTGGCTGGGTTCAGATACTTGATTCCTAGCCACAGCTTTCCCCTGCCTAGTTGTGCCCTCAGGCATCCTCTCTGTACCTCCATTTCTCTCTTTAGTAGAATACTGACTGATTGTTAGATGGTCTTTCAAACAGACTCACCCAGCTCTGATGCTCTGCGTCTCTAGCGCAGGGTTCCTCAGACTTGGCACTGTGGGTGTTTGAGGCTGGGTAATTCTTTGTTGTAGGACCTGTCCTGTGCACTGGAGGATGTTTAGCAGCATTATTGGCCTGTATGCACTAGATGCGGGTGGCACCAACCCAGTTGTGACAACTGAAAGTATCTGCAGACATTGCCAGTGTCCCCAAAGGGCAAATTTGCTCCTGCTTGAGAACCTGAGAACTGCTGCTGTAGACTGAGAAGCCCTGTGGTGCAGGAGTTAAGCGCTTGGCTGCTAAACAGAAGTTAGTGGTTTGAACCCACCAGACACTCTGCAGGAAAAAGACGCAGCGGCCTGCTCCCTAGTGATTATAGCCCAGGAAACCCTGTGGGGTGGTTCTCCTCCGTCACATGGAGTCACTAGGATTCAAAATGGACTTGACGGCACGCAGCAGCACCACTCTAGACTAAGGCTTTTCTTTGCTTCCACAGACTCTTCATTTATTAAAATGCTTTAATTAAGGAGGTGAGGTGATTTTACCCTGATGACCCAGTACACTTCCTTCCTTTAGGATCAGGTGGTGGTAAATGACCGGTGGGGCCAAAACTGCTCCTGTCACCATGGAGACTTCTACAACTGTCAAGATAAATACATGCCAGGGAGCTTGCCAGACCACAAGTGGGAGATGTGCACCTCCATCGACAAGTCATCCTGGGGCTATCGTCGCAACATGGCGATGGCAAGCATTGCGAGTGAACAGGAAATCATTTCGGTGAGAGCTCCTCTGAATTATTTCTTAACAGCTTCTCTAACCAGTCTTCTAACTAAGAGCAATGGAAACACTGCATAAAAGTGTAGATTGTTAGAACCCTTTAGGGTAATGGAACATCTGTCCTTAGGAAATAATTCTAATTACCAAAGGGAGTTGTGGGTACTTCCCAGGATCATTTTCACCAGGATATGGATTACTATCCCTTTCTCTCAGCCATAAAAATATAATTGAATTAGGAATTCGCCTTTGACCGTTAAAATGTTCTTGAATGCAGTACGGGTTAAACCTTAGAGGGTTGTGTAAAACAAATGATTTACATATTACGAACATTATTGCAACTGTGTGAATTAACTGCATAAAAGACTGGAGGGAAACATCAGAAGTTAATGGTGTGGTGTCTAGGGGTACTGGATTCTCCTTTCTTGAGAGTGCTGTATGTACTCTTACTTTTACTGGACTTGCTTGAAGTGCACCTGTTCAAGGCCATAGTAAACACACACACATACAAATCCTACCCCAGAAGCCTAGAAGAATATATCTCTTTACAGCACATTTTCCTGAAGGAGCCGTCAGCCCATCCCACAGGAGCAGAGTGTCCTGAAGTTCTTCAGCCCTCTTCCATCTCCCTGAAGTCTCCACGGCAACTGCTCAAAACCTCTCCTCTTTGTTCCCTGTATTCTCTGGTTGCTCCATGTGATCTTTTCACTGCCAGGTGCTTGTTCTCTGAGCATCCCAGCCCACATTTTGTGCTTCTAACACATGACCCTTCCTTCTTCTACTCAAAGCCCCATGAGAAGTGCAGTCTCACCTCCAATAACAATTGCTTTTTTTTTTTGCCCATAATCAAGGGTTAATGTATTTCTCCATCTTGTAACACAGATAGTTTTCAGTTTTCTCATGAGTCTCTTCTGCTTTTTCTCTTCCACTTTTGTAATGACAAAAAATTAAGATGAAAGTTTTTAGAGAGTAAAGGATAGTCACACAGCAGGGGGAACATACCCTAGATTCTTTTTCTCTTCACAACATCTGTGTGTCCTAAGCATAATACCAGGTGCAATGCAGTGAATTACTTAGTATGGCTTTTCATAGTCTTTATAACTCCCACTGGGTTACTGGGTAGGACCATGCAAATAAGGTGTGTAGAACTCTGAGGCTGGGATTGGTTAGTTTCATCACTCTGCCAGGCTTGAAATGATCCTTCCTAAAGACAGAAGGGGGGATCTCACTGCCATCAAGAGAGAAGAGCTAGAGGTGAAGTAGAGTACATCCTTGGACCTGTGACCTCTTTAGCCAAGAGAGAGACTCTTGGCTGAGAGATGGAGCAGTAGAGCCAAGCAGGAGACAGAACAGCAAAAGCCCATGAAGCAAGAAAGCTGTGTGCCCTTGGGCAGGAGGCTTGCTGGCAGAGTGGGGTATAGGTAGTTGTACCTATCAAGCTAAAAGAGCTTTGTAACATTTGCCGGAGCAGGGCAGTGGCCAGGCCAAGAGGCCAAGGGCCAGAGAGGCATGCCTGAGGGCATAGCAGAGAGGAGGCTGTCCTGATGGAAGAATTGCATCCTGAGACCATTCCTGAATCTGAACCTGAGTTGTAACCTGTTAACTTCCCTAATAAACCCATAATCATGAGTATTGTCTGTGAGTTTGGCGTGGCCATTGCAACAGATTATCAAACCTATCAGAGAGTGAGTGAGTGCTGTGGAAGGGAAGCCTAGTGTGATGGCCATGTTTGTGTGTCAGCCTGGCTGGGCCTGGTTGAGTGGCTGGGCAGCTGGTAGTAGTTATGCCCCATGATGAGACTGAGTAGCAGCTGAGTAGCTGCCTTTGTGATGCGGTCTGCTTCCTGTATATAAGAAGAAGCTTTGAGAATAGTCTCGAGCCCATAGCACGCTTGGACTCTGCATGTAGCCGTGTCGTTGTTCAGCAACCTGCCATGCTCTGCTGACCTTGGGACTTACAATGGACTTAAGTTAATGGCCTGCCTTTTCGTTTGGTAACATCGGGACTGTGCCTTTTTACTTTTCAATCTTGGGTCTTTTCAGCCTCAGCAGCCAGCAGCTGTCTGAGTGAAGAAACACCTCTAGCTCCAGTGGGCCGGGAGCAGGAGGCGGAGCTGGATCCCAAGATGGAGGGGCTTTTATCCAGCCCCTAGAGCCTGGCACTTTGAACTTGGACTTAAAACCTCCAAATTGTAAGAATAAACAACTGTCTGTTAAGGCCTTCCTATTTGTGGTATATTCTTGTCAGAGTGGCACTAGGTAACCAGAACAGCTGGTGTCAGAATTAGTAAAAAGGTTGGAGGGTAGCGGTATGTCTGGCCTCATAAAAATGAGCATTGAGCTATTGATGGTGACCCTGTTTCCCCCTCGTGAGATCAGAGGAAGTCAGAAGATGCTGTCTCCATCCCCTTTTAGCACCAGGTTTGGCATTCATACCTAGGCTCTCTCTGTTTCTGCTCTCTCCAGGAACTGGTTAGGACAGTGAGCTTGGGAGGCAATTATCTTCTCAACATTGGACCGACCAAAGATGGAGTGATTGTGCCCATCTTCCAAGAAAGGCTTCTTGCTGTCGGGAAGTGGCTGAGCATCAACGGGGAGGCTATCTATGCCTCTAAGCCGTGGCGAGTACAATCAGATAACAATGGGACATCTGTCTGGTGAGTCTAATCTTCTGTTGTAGGCAGGAACAAGACTGTGGCCCATCCTGAACTGTGACCTCCTTGGGTCCACATGTTGCAAGCCAGGCTGGAAGTTGTCTTGAAGAACCCCAGAGCAATTCTTTTGCTGTAAAATGTGTTCCCCTATTAGGTTGTGTCCTTTTTTGAAAACTTTTTGTGAGTTGGGTGAAAGTTGACAGAGCACATTCATTTTCCATTCAATAAATAGTTCATACACATTGTTTCATGACATTGATTGCAATCCCCACAGTGTAATAGCTCTCTTCCCACTTCCTCCCTGTGGTTATCTTTTCCCTGTGTCCTTCTTTCCTGTGCATTCCTGCCTTCTGAGCTTTCTCCCTGAGCACATGCTGCCCTTTTCATCTCCCATGGTTGATTGTTCTAAGGAATGCACCCTCTCTAGTATAATTGTTCACCTTGGGGGCCTGTTGTTTGGCTGAAGGTTAAGTCAAGGAATTGAGTTCAATTCCAGGCCTGAAGGGTGGTTAGGGGCCATAGGCTCAGAAGTTTGACTAGTTTCTATGAGACCAAAAAGCCTGGTCTTTTTTTAGATTTTGGGTTTTGTTCCACAATTTTCTCCTACTCTATTCAGCATCTACAGTTTTGATCCCTTTCCAAGTGGCAGCTGGGCACCATCTAATTCTGGTCTCAGGGTTGTCTGGGCTGAGGTTTCCATGGCCCACTAGTCCCTTGGGCTAATTGTTTCCATGTGTCTTTGGTTTTCTTCACTCTTTGCTCCAGATGAGGACAGACCAATAATTGCATCTTCGATGACCACTCACAAGCTTTTAAGACCCCAGTCACTACTCACCAAAATAGCAGGCAGAACAAGGTTTTTGTGTACTATGTTATACCAGTTGAGCTTGATGTCCCCTACATCCATGGTCCCAGGCCCACAGGTCCAGCAACCCACTCCCTGAAGGTTTTTGGTTGTGGCTAAGAAGTTACCATATTGCCTCCTATTTGCTCTATTATATATATGGACATTTTTATAGTACATACAAATATGTATATAGAAATATTGTCTGCCAAACCTATATATACCAAACCAAACTCATTGCTGTCAAGTTGAATCCAACTCATAGCGACCCCTCCTTGAGTTTCCAAAGCAGTATCACTACGGAAGTAGATTGCCCAATCTTCCTTCCAAGGAGTGGCTGGTGGGTTTGAACTGCCAGCCTTCTGGTTAGCAGTCAGATGCCTTAGGTACTACGCCACCAGGGCTCTCAAATAGTCATGGGGGTATTCCCAGTAACTTACCCATACTGATCATCTTGCCTGTCTGCCTATGTATCCATCCATAGAATAATGTCTGTTATTACTGATAGTGCAGTATTGTTTATATAATAGTATTTACCTTTGTTGTCTGTACCTCTTGTGCACTTTCTTGTGTCTTCTTTTTTCTTAGTGATATTGTGCTGGTCACCTGCTTTTTGTATATTACCTTTCTCTTCATCAGTTCAGTGATAGCTTATTCCACCAGGATATCTTCGACTAGTGAGGGAGACAGTGGGTTTGATGAGAAAATAAGGTGCTACAGAGTTTCAGTCAGTGTAGTGGAGAATGTTAGCCTGCCCTCTAAAATGGGTCGTAGTTAATGCTTGGTCACCATTTACAGTAGGCCTCAAGTGAATGGAGAAGCTGTGATCCACACCTGGAATTCTGGCTTTAGTTATTTGATCTTGTGTCTCGGTTATTTCAACTACAAAATAAGATGATGTTGTTGTTATTGCCATCAAGTCAGACCCGACTCATGGCAACCCATCCTTGGGTTTCCGAGGCAGTATCACTACAGAAGTAGATTGATTGCCCCATCTTCCTCCGAGGAGTGGCTGGTGGGTTTGAACCGCCAGCCTTCTGGTTAGCAGTCAAATGCCTTAGGTAGCGTAGTGCCTAAGGCACTTGACTGCTAACCAGAGCTCCTACAAAATAAGATAACGATACTTAATCTCATAGGGTTCTTGGGGGAATTAAATGAGATAAAGTATGTGAAGTGTCAGCTAGTGCCAGGCACATGATAAGTGCTCAATGAGAGGGAACTGCTAGTGTAATTATTGAAAAGCCTTGGTCTTTGTATCCGGAGACACGCATCAATCCCTCTATTTTGGCTACATTTCTGTTTAATGATTTTTCACCCTCTTCTCTAAACACAGTGAAATTTCAGAGCAACAAACTTGTCCTCATTTCTTACCTCACCTTTGCTACACACTCTGCTGCTTTCACTTGGATTTGGTGATGAAAAGATTGGACTAATCTTTTAAGTGGCATCGGTGTGAAATAACTAGTAGAAGAGTTAATAGCTTTTAAAGAAAACTTAATTACTGCTTGAGGAGGGGAAATGGAGAGGATCCCCAGAAAGTGTCTTAGAGGCTGCTTCCTTCCCATCTACCTTAACCGGTATCCACTTACTAGTGCTTCCTTGTAACGTAGCAGTGACAGACTCAATGTCTTGGAATTGGTAGCTAATTTAAAGGGAAATGTGTAAGACTATGTATGTAGCAGGGTAGCCAGCCAGGTAGCTTTGACAATGATGTTTCGTTTTTTCCAGGTATACCTCAAAAGGACCAGATGTTTATGCCATTTTGCTGCAGTGGCCAGAAAATGGAGTCTTAAACCTTGCATCTCCTAAAACTACCTCTACCACAGAGGTAAGGAACCTCAGTCAGTCTTAAGATGTACCTTTTTCAAAACGAATTGACAGGCCTTTACTACTTTTTCTTTGTTTCCCCAGGCTTCTCACATATATTCTCCTTTTAGACGATCTTCCTTGACCCTATGGCATTTCTCATCATGCCAGGCCCCATTCTGTACTCACTGGATTCTCTTTTGCTTTCTTGCAGGTGACGATGCTGGGTCTTGAAGGCAGTCTGAAATGGTCCAAAGAACCACTTCAGGGCCTCCTCATATCTCTGCCTCAGTTACCACCCTCTGCTTTCCCCATTCCATTTGCTTGGACCCTCAAGTTGACAGGAGTGGAGTGATTGTTTGAGTTCCCGAGGAAAGGGACACAGCTGCTGATGCCTGCTGCCATTAGAGGAAGAATAAGGCAGGGCACATTGTTGCCAGTGGAAGGAGACAGACTAGGTGTGACGAGTTCTCACATGCTGTTGTCACCACCTCTTTCCCCATCCCTCCCAAAGGGCTGAGGAGTCTGGAGGGGAAGGAAAAGGCTTTTGGGTCAACGATAAAGCAAACTAAGAGCTCTTAAATTCAGTGTGTTTACAATGATCCTGTTAAGAAAGGGAATGTGATTCTGCCCTGTGCCTTTTTAAAATATGATCAAATAAGTAAATGTATGTGTCAGATCGTTTCTGTCCAAAGCAGGTTGTAACTTTATTTTCCTAGTTTCAGTTTGGATTATTTATAGCTTTAGGAGCAGTCTCTGGTTTTTGTTTTGTTTTTTAAAAAAGAGGTCTGCCAATTCTCCTTAACACATAACAAAGAATGTAATCCCTTTGATTTTTCTGCTCCTCATTCCTAGCATTATTCTGAGTTGAATACCAATTCAGCCTCTTTAATTACAGGTCCAGACAGGTTTTCTGTTTCTTTTTTATTTAATAAATGTATTTCAAAATCTTTCCCCAACAATTAAGGAACACAGGTTTGTCTCAAACATGTTTGGGACATTTACGAATCTGGAACACCAAAGAAGCAATAGGAGGTGCATTCCTTAGAATAATCAACCATGGGAGATGAGGAGGTCAGCATTTGCTCAGGGAGAAAGCTCAGAAAACAGGCATACATGGAAAAGGAGGACACAGGGAAAAGGTAACCACAGGGAGGAAGTAGGAAGAGAGCTATTACACTGTGGGGATTACAATCCATGTCATGAAACAAAATGTGTATGAACTGTTGAAAATGAATTTTCTCTGTAAATTTTCTTTCATATCACAGTGAAAAGTTTTTTAAAAATAAATAGTTTAAAGGGAAATAAAAAACTTAAAAGTCTTTTAACATATAAAGAAACTGAATCAGTAGTACACAGTTTTCCCACAAAGAAAACACCAGATGCAGGCAGTTTTATGAATGAGCAGATCATTTCAATCTTAAGAGTTTTTCAGACAACACAGAAAGGAAGCACTTTCTCAACTGGAGAAATGATTGAAGTTGTCAAAGATTTCATATCACTTGGTTCCACCATCAACACCAATGGAAGCAGCAGTCAGAATACCAGATGACATATTGCACTGGGCAAATCTGCTGCAAAAGACTTCTTTAAAGTGCTGAAGAGTAAAGATGTCTCCTTGAGGACTAAGGTGGGCCTGACACAAGCCATGATATTTTCAGTCACCTCATATGCATGTGAGAGCTGGAATAATGAAGACCGAAGAAGAGTTGATGCTTTTGAGTTGTGGTGCTGGCGAAGAATGCTGAAAGTACCATGGACTGCGAAAGAACTAACAAATCTGTCCTGGAAGATCCTACATAAAGAGGGAGAACAATGTGGTACAAAACTCAAAATCATGTGGAGGCAAAAAAAAAAAAAAAAGGTGGGGACCAGGTTTGCTGGTCTAATAGAGCCTGGTGTAACCACTGAGACTATGGCCCCTAGTTGCCCTTCAGGTCTGGAATTGAACCCACAACTGTGGTTTCCAGCCAAACAAAGTACAGGCATGTGAGTTAAACATTTACCTCAAGTAGACACACGCCCTGGAGAGAACAATCATGGGAGAAGGAAGGGCTGCTTATGCACAGAGAGATAGCTCAGGGTGCAGAAGAGTATGAAGGGATGGACACTGGGAGGAGGTAACTATGGGGAGGAAGTGGGAGGGGAGCTGCTGCATTGTAAATTTTGGTCAATGACATGAGACAAAGTATATGTGAACTGCTGTATGAAAAGTGAATTTGCTCTGTAAATCTTCACCCAAATCCTAATAATAATAAAAAAAAAAATCTGTCCTGGAAGAAGTGCAGCCAGAATGCTCCTTGGAAGCGAGAATGGCCAGACTTCATGTCACCTACTTTGGTCATGTTGTCAGAAGGGACCATTCCCTGGAGAAGGATGTCATGCTTGGTAAAGTAGAAAAAAAAAAAAAAAAGATCTCACTGCCATCGAGTCAGTCCCAACTCACAGCAACCCCTCCCTGGATTTCCAAGGTGGTGTCTCTACTGAAGTAGATTGCCCAACCTTCCTTCCAAGGTTTGGCTGATGGGTTTGAACCACCAGCCTTCGAATTAGCAGTCAAACGCCTTAGGCACTATGCTACCAGAGCTCCCTTGGTTAAGTAAAGGGTCATCAGTAAAGGGGAAGGCCCTCAATGAAATGGATTGACACAGTGGCTGCAACAGTGGGCTCAGGTATAGCAAGGACTGTGAGGCTGGCACAGGACCAGGCAGGGTTTCATTCAGTTGTACATAGGGTCACTGTGAGTCAGAGCTGACTCGATGGCACCTAACAATGACAACAGTTTTCTAGTGCTTCTATAATGGAGATAACCACAAGTGTATGGCTTTATCAAACAGAAATTGATTCTTTCACAGTTCAGGAAGCTAAACATCTGAATTGAGAGCACTTTCTGTATCTCCTGGTTCTAGGAGATTCCCAGCACAGGGATGTAGGATCCAAAGGATACACTCTGCTCCCAGCTCTTCTTTTCTTGGTGGTAGTAGGTCCCACTCTCTCTCTGCTTGTTCTCTCTCCTTTTATCTCTTGTAGGGTAAAAGATAATTTAGGCCACACCCCAGGAAAACTCCCCTCATATCAGATCAAGTTTGTGACCTGATTAAGGGTGTTACATCCCACCTTAATCCCATTAACCACTGATTGGTTGATCACGTCACGGGGATGATTACCTCATTACGTAGCTGCCAAACCACTGAGAATCATGGCCCAGACAAGCTGACACATTTTGGGGGAAGACAATTTATTCCATGACAATTACAGTAACTGATACCACAATCAGATGAGCGCAAAGTGAAAGTATAGGCCAATCCATTGGAAAACCTAGGTGCAAAAAATTTAAACAAAATGTTGGCAAAGTGAACCCAGGCAATATTCATAAAAACAAAAAATCACATCCAAAATTGTTTATATTTCAGGAATTCATGGTTGTTTTGATAACAGAAAATCTATCAAAGAATTCACTGCATAGATTAAAGGAGAGAATGATATTCTCAGTAGTTTCAGAAAAATCTTTTAATTTCAAAACACATTTGTGATAAAAAGTTGTAAAGCAGGGCTAAAACTAGGTATCTACTAGTAATTTACCGTGAGCGTCATACTAGAGACAGGATGTTAAAAGCGAGCTTTTGCAATCACTATTGGTATTCATTGTTGTTTGTGAGATCCTGATCCATGGGGTGGGGTCCCTTGGAGATGCAAACAGCACAGTCGCCTGCTAACCTCATGGTTGGCAGGTCAGGTCCACCCAGAGAAGCCTCAGAACAAAGGCCTGGCAATCTACTTCCAGAAAATCAGCCATTGGCAACCCTGTGGAGCACAATTCTGTTTCACTCATGGGTTCACTAACAGTTGGAATCAACTCCACAGCAATTGGTTTGTTTTTTGTAATCCAAGCAGTAAAACGAGTACAAGAAATAAGGAATATAACAATTACTAAGTATTATACCAAACTCATTGTTCATAGATGATGTAATTGTCCACGTAGAAAACCTCAAAGAATATACAAATGAATTATTAGACGTGAGATAGTTTAGCAAGTTGTTGGATATAAAATCAACAAGCAAAATACAATTGCAAAAAAAAAAAAAAATCACTTTCTACACTCCAAAAATTATAAAACAATGAAAAACTTTTATTTACCATAATAACAAAAAATACAAGGTAGCTAAAAGAAAATTAGCAGAAGTGTTAGTGATTCCCAATCATCACAGTTCCAAGAGTTCTAAGTTTCCAACCACTGTTTCCCACTATCAATGATGCGGGGGCGGCAGGATGGTACTGAGCAAGACTCTCAGAACCACGTAGGACTTCACACCTCGGCTTCCTGGAGAGTGCGGAATGTCTCCAGTAAAGCTGTGTGGGGTGAATCTCCTTACAACAGCACTAATTCAGAATAGTTTCTTGTGGTTGAGACAAGTAGATCCAACCCCTCTAAATCAAGGTCCAAGGTGAATCCTCAGCTGGTTTTTTTTTTTTTTTTTTCCCTGTCGTGCATAAACAATATAGTTATCTTGCAATAACTATATTGCAATATAATCATGGCAAGGTACCCAACATTCAGTTAGAACCAGAGGAGGATCAATTTATAATTACAATGTTAATTCAGTGATTACAATGTTAACTCAATGGTTAGAGTCCAAATCTTTAGATTTAAGGCTTTTTCTTTAAGGAGAGGTCTTGGGAGGAAGGCATAACCAAGATGTGAGCATGGCAGACATCCTTCATAAGTCGGCAGGGCAGCGGGCAGTCTCAACTCTCTCTCTGCCTTCTCTCAGTGAGTGAACAGAAAGGTAGAGTTTGTATGTGAGTTTGTACCTAAGCTCTGCATGACAAGGGCTAGTTAACACTAGTATGTTGTCTTTTCTTCAGGGTTAGACGTTGAGATTGTTTAGAGATTGACTATGTTGTTTTCTTATGTCACAGCATGCCAGGTCAAACATACTTCATGTTTCTATGGCTAAGTTCAGAAGTTTTCTAAATAACTTTCCTAATGACTCATAGTTAATATTAGAAAGGCTCAAAAAGGTAGACACATTTCTGTTTCCAAGTTTGTATTGAGTGCTTACACATAAGTATTTTGAAAGTATAATAGTATCATATACCTTATGGGATTTGAGATCATTATAGAAACCAGAACATGTTGGCTTTTCATATTCTCATCCTTAATTCTTGCTCAAATTGTCCTTGCAGTTTTCTGAATCTCTCAATTTCTTTGTTGTTGTTATTATGTGCCGTCGAATCAAACCCGACTCATAGCGACCCCTCCTTGGGTTTCCAAGGCAGTATCACTACGGAAGTAGGATTGCCCAACATTCCTTCCGAGGAGTGGCTGGTGGATTTGAACCGCCAGCCGTCTGG